GTCCTTAGGGCAAGGCCACCAGAGAAGCCGCAACTCCTTCATTAAACACTAATAAGCACTTGTGGGTGGTGATCGTGTTTCCTCATCTGGAGTTATCTTTAATGCATTATGAAAAATTATAATGCACAAGAAAACCTGGAATATTTAATTTACTTTGAAACCTGCATGGTTCTTAATTTATAAACAATAAACAGAAATACCTGCAGCATGTGAATTTAAATATACAAAGCATCCCCGAAGATGCTTTTTTCTAATAAATGCCCAAGCACATTCATATATAATCAGAAGTCCTGAATTAAAGAAAGTTGTAAACAATGAATAGAACCAAAACAGAAAGCTTTAATAAACTACAGTTTATTAGCAGCTGGATGACTGAGTCTAATTGATGGTTATTCAATTATTTGAATTGAGCTTAAACCATAGGCTGAGGTAATACATTAGCACAGCACAAAAACTTCTTCTGCTCTGTCTAATAGCTAATAAAACAATTACAGTAAAAACAAATCATTCTTATTCTTATGTGAATGTGGCATGATGAACTAATTTCATATTTTTTCGAACTCCCTGCACACTAACTGTGCCAGGAGCATCACCATTATTAAATCTAAGAAAAGTAGCACTGAAATACATAGATAATTTCGTTAAGAAGTTTCCTCAAGATGTGCATTCATAACACAAATAATATTAATATTTTCCTGGCATATAAGTAGGAAACTGCTATTCTAAAGCAAATCTCAAAATTTGGGAAGTGTGTTAAGATATTTTAAAAACAAAGAGTGGTATGAGTATCCATTACCAAACTGATATATGGTATATTCAAGCATGAATCAGTTCGATTAATTTTAAATATCCAAATGAAAACCCCTAATGATATTTACATAAACAATAATTAATAATAAAATTCTTAAAGAGAATATGAACAAACCATTGCAGGTTTGCAAGACCAATAAATACTTCTAAATAAGTGTTAAACACACACCAATGAAAGAAACTTTTTTACTTAAAAGTTTACTGCATTTGCCTCAAAACAAAATGCAAAAATCCTGTGACTATTTTAAATCAATTTCAGGCACACATTTGAAAAAAAAATACACTTAAAGTAAGTCAACACATTTAAAAAGGAAATCTTCTAGTGAACACAGAAATGAAATCCATAAAGACATCAAATTAATGGGAAGTACCTGAATTTTCTCACTGTCAGATATAAGATTTTCACAATACTTTGGCTACTCATGCTCAAATATTTTAATCAAATGTTCTTTGCGGTAGTTCAAGCTATACAATATTTACAGACAGAACATATGCTACATTGAAGTCTCTGTTTGTATTGTAGATATAATTAGAACAAACTTTCCCTACCTCTCATTGTAATCTTGTAATGGGCAACAGTGCTACTTGACTATAGCTATTAATCTTCTAGCCTGTTTTAATAACACAGGTAACACCTAAGAAATTATTCTTTGATCTTTCAATAAACTAATCTTATGCAGACATGGGAAGGTGGAAGAGGTTAAATTAGCATTGATTATTTAAGACACATTCATCATTTTTTTAACTATCTCCCTTATCACAACAACTATTGTGTTTCTAAGCCTGTATTGAGACACTCCGAATTTATTCATTAAAAAAAAATCTCTCCTTGTGCATTAGAAAGGAGCACAGGGTACACTAACATTACTTTCACGTCTCCCAACAAATCTGCTACTGGCTAGAGCAGTTTATTATACAAACCTTGAAATGTATGCATTGTAGTTGATTTTAACAGATTTTATTATAATTAATGTTTTCTACAGATTCTATTCTAGGAATCTACCTTAAGCAAAATGTGTAGTAAGATTCAAATTCCCAAAGGAATTATATTAATAGCAGAATGTAGTGTACTATATTCTAAAATTCATACTAAGAAAATATGATCTATATAATTTGTAAAGGATAATTTGTGACTAATATTGACAACCTTAGGAAGAAAGTAATAGCATATAAGAGTTATCTAGAATGCACAAGAGTTCTACAAGATTTTTCTTTTCCTCTGATAAATACTACAAGCAAATTATACATAGATATACATGTTTACGTGTATATGGCACATTTGTAAAATTTGAAATAATGTAAAATCGTATTTCTTAGGAAAAAGAACAAAATATTATATTATAAATTTAAGAATAATTTATTCCCATTGCATATAAAATATAAACAATACTTGTAATTAAGTATTTCAAAACATAGAAAATACACCCTGGTCATAAAAGAAATGATGCCATTGATCAATTATGTACTTCCAACCCTTCAACTCATCATACCTAAAATGTTCTACTTATTTCTGATTGGCTTTTATAAAATATTTCCCTCCTCACTTGTTTACAAGCAAAATCCCCTAAAGGTTATTGCCATAGTCATGTCTATTTACCTTCATAAACTTCCACGTACATATTTTGGAAATTCACTTGCTCAAGGGGATTCTTTAAGGATTCGATACCAAAAAAGTATTATTCTTTCACCTAATTCAATCCAATAAAATATATTAACCTACCACCGCAACATATGAAAGCAAGGTAAAAGCAATGAAGCTTAATTAGGGATTAAAAATGGTCATGGCTTCACTTTTTATTTCTATTTGTAGGCTTACAGAATTTCATGGAATTAGTGTAAGAAATTTGTAGAAATAAGAAAATTATGAGGCACAGAAAGGCAAATTCATGTGAGCCTGCTAATCGCTCTTGTTAGAAGGACTCTCCACAGCTTAGCTATTTCTCTCCTAGAGGTATCATTCATTTCCTCAGCAAGCAATTCTCACAAGACGTCACTAATAGTACTACATAAAACTGATAATGTTACATAAAAGGCTTAAAGATTATATTTATTTTCAATCATTCACATAGTTAGAATTCTCTCTCCCACACATCAAATCTTCGAACTGAATAAAACTGAATCCAAACGGACATTTCTCCTTTTCCTTGTTTTAAGAGCATATTACTTTTAATAAAACTGGACTTCCACAAAGATCACGTGGTAGTGAACACATGAACTACATGCTCCTGAGATTCAGATCCCATTTGAAAATGGAGGGATTTGAAGTATGTGATTTCTAAGTTAACTGGTAGTCCCCATGCTGTATGATGGTATGTTCTAATAAGATCCAGTGAGAAGTATGGGATTATTAGTGTATTTGAACAACTCTCTGGCTTGCAGAGTTATAAATAGATAGGTTATTATTTTTAAATGTTTATCATGTTTGTATATCCTATCCATATATATAAGGATATACATATTCTTATATCCTAAGGACTGATATACAAATATTTTTGTGCTGAAAAAAAGACTGTAATAGGACAAATATACTACAAATGATATAACTACTGAATCACTTTTGGTGAAGATTATACAACTATTTGAGATTCATAAAAATTATTTCTTTTTAGAAACAAATATTAACATCATTTAAATAATATATAATGCTATTACTAAAAAGTGTTTTAGTTCCAAGAGTTATACCTAGGATATTTAGATACATTAATAAGCATGTATTAAAATACATACCATAGAAACGTTTTTTAAATGCATAGTTTTTAGTATTTTTGAAATTTAAAAGTATTTAAACTTCTGAAAAGAATCTGTGCTAGAATTCAAAAGTTTGTTTTATTTCTTAAGAGAGACAAGTAGTTTTATTTTAAATATACTTAATAGGGTTTGCAAGGCAACAGAGAAGTTACAACCACACTTATGTTAGTCAATATAATAACAATATGCAGATAAAAATATTTTATTATTATACATCTTCAAAAATCTTAAAATCATCTCTATTCTATTCCTGTCAATGAAATGCTAAAAAATTACTGACAATTTTTTTTTTTGAGACAAAGTCTCACTACGTCACCCTGAGTAGAGTGCTATGGCATCACCGCTCACAGCAACCTCAAACTCTTGGGCTTAAGGAAGTCTCTCGCCTCAGCCTCCCAACAAGCTGGGGCTACAGGTGCCCACCACAACACCTGGCTATTTTTTGTTGCAGTTGTCATTGTTGTTTAACAGGCCTGGGCTTGGCTCAAACCCGCCACCCTTGGTGTATGTGGCCGGCGCTGTAACCTGGGGCTGAGCCACTAACACATGTTTTTAAGTATAAGAGGATTCTTACAAATGTTAGATTCATGATGAATACAATTTTACTTAATTTTTCATCAAGGGGAAATGTACACTTAAGAACTTAGGAAAAGTGCAAATTTCATTGCTGTGTTTAAGAAAAAAATCTCCCTTTCCTCTCTCTCTCTCTTAGAGACAAATATCAAAGTTTTCCAAAAACATCCAGTGTCACTAGAATCCAAATTATATTAAAATATGTTTTATAATTCTATTAATAGAATTTATATTAGATAGATATCAAATAATAATTTGGTAAATATCAAAGTTTTCTAAACTCATTCAGTGTTACAAGAACACATATTATTTTAAAGTGTTTTACAATTCTATTCGGACAGCTCACAACAATCATTTCATATGAAGAAAAAAATACTATTTAATAACTTTAAATTGAATAACTTTCTCTTACCTTTCCTGAAGCCCAAGAGACTAAAATATTATTGTAAAATTCTTTACAAAGTTATATTTCCTTGTAAGTGCCTACAAGTAAAAAATGATGTGCTCGGCCCTTGGTGATTGCAACTTTATTAAACTGTTAATAAACAAGTAAGTACTTTCTTAAAAATAAATTGCCTTAGTATTCTAAGATGTATTTCCGCATATCTTCAAATTCACTAATTCAGAAGACTGTATTAGAGTCGTTGGTTTAAAAAAAATTAATAAGACATCGGTATGCAAGCCAGTAGCCATAATTATCTTTTTTAGTTCTAGAAGGTATTTGGGAATTGTTTAAGAGCAAAGATGAATGGTGTGCTACTAAATCCCATTAAATCACCGCATGGACACAGCAGCAGCAGAAGTAAATAACCTGCTGGAAGTCTGAATATCAGTAAAGAAGATACAAATGGTTTGACATAGCTACTTACATCATAGCTTAGAAGTTCAGTCTGTGTGGACTTATCTACTCTTGAGGCAAAGGCCTTCTGTAAGTGCTGGAGTTTTTCCTGCAAAATGAAAAAAAAACAACACACACATTGTTGGTGAGTTATGTATCTCTCCACTTAATAAATGAAATGTGATTGGCACAATCCAAACTCCACTGTGGGTATACAACTTGCTCTGCTGGTGCATTTCAAATAAGCTTATATATTTACAGCTTTAATTTTCAGTATATGACTACTTCAATTTCAGCATTTTTTCTTCTAAGAAAGGAACCGCAGTTAAATGTTAAACACATGATTTGCTCAAACCCAAGACCAAATGTTTACACTATGTTCTGTGTTAGCTGTTTTCTTGATAGCTAACATTCTTTGATTTTACTGATCCAGTTTTAGAACATTTACATTCAATATGTGATACTGCCTAGTAGATTCTATTTAGTTGATTTCAATGTTTTTACAGCTCTTAATTTTCCTTCGGAACCCCCATCCATTTAAGAATCTGTACTTTAAGAGACTGACAACAGTATAACCCTGAGATAACCAGATAAGAGAAGTAATATCTGAACATAAGACAGAATTTCATATTTCAAATGCAAAATTAATAATTCTGAGTCAACTAATTTGACTGGGCTTTGGCTGGAGGCTTCCTTTTCAGTCCTAAATGTTTCACTTCAGATGAGATTTTGAGCTTAATTATTAGGTGATGTATTTACTGCCTGCCTGGCACAGCTGAGAGTACTGTACTCACATAACCTCATCTCAATTTTTAACATTATTATATTAATACCTATTTTAAATGTGAATCATATAGTTTAGGAAGTTTAAGTAACTTAAGAAAATTTTCTTGTGATTTTACTAGACTATGATTTCCACTTAATTTTCTTTGAAGGAGAATTCCTTTCATTTTCTTTCCTTTTGTTCAATAAAATAGCTTTTAATACCAGAATGATAAACACTGTGATTGAATTATCCTTCTCCCAGGACTAACAGAGGTTATAAAGAACGTCTCTCCCAAGAACTCTGGTTACATAAAACCCTTTCCTCCTTCCCCCCTTGTTCCTGCAGCCTCTCCCCTCACTGCCCTTTCCCTCCCCTCCCTGTTCCTCACCTAGTGCTGCCTGAGATTTGCAAAATCATCTGTGATATTTACCAAGTATATACAGAATTTAAGTCAATTTAGGTTGACTTATTGATAAAAAAAAAAAATGCAGTGCTATTAGCATCTCATCTTCCAATATTCCTAATCATAAAACATCTAGTGCTACTGTGCAGAGAAAAATGAAACCCCAATTACTTAGGATGACGTCATATGAATGGTGCAAAATTTTAATTGTTTGACAAAGACTAATGAAAATGTGGCTGTATTTTCCAAATTAAATTCAAAATTAGCAGGAGCAAGTTGTATTTATTGAGACTTATATTAACTGGCATGGGGGTGAGAGAGGGAGACAGAGTAACAGGTGAAGGAAACAGTAATGTTGGGGATCGTAGAGAGATTGTTTAGAAAAGCCTCATTATCTAGTTTTGAAATAGACTGGAATTTTAAGTATGAAAAAGTAAATTGCAGTTGTTTTTCATTTTTTTGAAAATTTCAATATTTAGGGGTACAAATGGTTTTTAGTGACATGGTTGTATTGTACAGGGATACGGACTGGGGTTTTAGTGCACCTGGTACCTGAATAGTGTACACTGAACCCAGTAGGTAACTGTTCACCCCTTACCCCCCTCCTCCCTTCTGAATCTCTGGTGTCCATCTGGATCCCACTCTGTGTGATCACGCATACCCACAGCTTAGCTCCCGCTTACAAGTAAGAGCATGCTGTATTTGTTTTTCCATTCCTAAGCTACTTCACTCTGGATAATGTCCTCCAGTTCCACACAAATTGTTGCAAAAAACATGATTTTTAATTGCTGGGTAGTATTTCATGGTTTACACACACACACTACATTTACTTTATCTACTCACTGGGTGATGGGCATTTAGGTTGATTCCATGTATTACCAATTGGGAACTGTTGCAATAAACAAATGAGAGCAAGTGTCTTTTTTTAATATAATGACTTCTTTTCTAGATAGTAGTGAGATTTCTGAGTTAAATTGTAGGTCGATTTTTAGTTCTCTGAGAAGTCTCCATATCGCCTACCACAGAGGTTGTACTAATTTACATTCCCACCACAGTGTACGAGGTTCCTTGCTCACCACGCCCATGACCATACCTATTATTTTTTGACTTTTTTATAGTGGCCATTTTGACAGGGTAATGTAGTATCTCACTGTGATTTTAATATGCATTTTTTGATGATTAGTGATATTAGGTATTTTTCTTATGTTTGTTGGTCATTTCCATATCTTCTTTTGAAAAATATTCATGTCTATTGCCCACTTTTTAATGGGGTTGTTTTTATTTCTTGTAGATTTGGTTGAGTTCCTCATAAATTCTGAACATTAGTCCTTTGTTATACGCAGTTTGCAAATATCTTCCCCTATTTACTCTGTCAATTTACTCTATTGATTATTCGTTTGCTGTGCAGAAGTTTTCTACCTTAATTAAGTCCTATTTATTTATTTTTGTTTTATTGTATTTGCTTCAAGTCTTACCCAAATGTCCAGAAGAGTTTTTCCTAGGTTTTCCTTAAGAATTTTTGTGGTTTCAAGTCCTACATCCAAGTCTTTAACCCATCTCCAGTTAATTTTTGTGCATGATTGAGAGGTAGGGATCTAGCCCTGTTCTTTCTCTTTGGGCTGTTCAGCTTTGTCAGCAGCATTCACTAGCATCCTCTTTCCCAGTGAATGTTCTTCTCTGCACTGTCAAAGATCAGTTGACTGTAGGCACGTGGTTTGGGGGAGGGTTCTCAATTATTTTATAGTGATTTGTGTGTCTACCATTATACCAGGATCATGCTGTTTTGCTTACTATAGGCTTGTGGTATAATTTGAAGTCAGGTAATGTAATACTTTCAGATTTTTGAGAATTTATTCTTTATATTCAGGACAGCTTTAGTGGGGGGGGGCTCTTTTTTCATTCCATATGAAATTTAGGATTGGTTTTTCTAACATTGTGAAAAATGGCAACTTGATGGGAATTATACTGAATCTGTAAATTACTTTGGGCAGTATGGACATTTTAACTATATTTATTCTACCAATCCATAAGCAGGGGATATTTTTCCATTTATGTGTGTTATCTATGGTTTCTTTCATCAGTGGTTTGTAGTTCTCCCAGCAGAGATCTTTCACCTCCTTGGTTAAGTATATTTCCCCGACTTTTTAAAGTTGATTTTACAGTTATTGTAAATGATATTGAGTTGCTGATGTGACTCGCAGCTTGGTTGTTTTTAGTATATAGAAATCCTACTGATCTGCGTACATCAATTTTAAAACCCAAGACTTCACTGAATCCTTTTACCCATTCTAGGAAGCTTTCAGAGGATCTTTAGGGTTTTCTAGACTCAAGATCACATCGCTGGCAAACAATAGTTTGACTTCCTCTTTTCTGATTTAGATGCTTTTTAATTCTTTCTCTTGTCTGATTGCTCTGCTGGGACTTCACAACCATGATGAATAGAAGTGGTGGTGAAAGTGGCCTCCTTGTCTTTTCCCGTTTCTTAGGGGCAATACGCTCACTTTTGTCCATTCATTATAACACTGACTGTAGGTTTGTCATACGTGGCTTTTATTATTCTGAGGAGGTATGTTCCTTCTATGCCTCATTATTAAGAGTTTTTTTTTTTATCAGGAAGTGATGTTGGATTGCACTGAATGCTTTTTCAACATCTATCAAGATATATGGATATTAGGTTTAATTTTGCTTATATAGGGAATCACATTTATTAATTTAGGTATGTTGAAGTATCTTTGCATCCCTAGGATGAAACCCACTTGATCATAGTTAATTATCTTTTTATATATGTTTGGATTCACTTCGTAGCACACTGTTGAGGAGTTTTGCATCTATGTTCATCAGGGACAGTGGGCTGCAGTTTTCTGCCTAATAGAAACTAGCAGATTAACAACTACCTGCTCATTTGAGAGAACAGAGTCAATCAAATTTAAGAAAGAGAGAGGTTGGGAGCAGGTTCAGCAAGTTCCCATCCAAAAGGAACAATGGCTTGGTACATGGCACACTTCCTGGGTGTAGGAAACAAATTGGACTTTCCCCCACAAACACAAACAATGTAACCTAATCCTGTGACCCACATATTAATCTGGAATTTAAAGGGAATGGTGATATACCAAGTCAATGCCCCAGAGAGGATGGAGACTGTGCTAAAGAATTGGAACTATCTTAACATTCAAAATATCGAATAAATGGCCATGAAAATATTTTAACTAAGTTTCAACAAAACTGATTAAATACATCCATCACTTTAAATAATATGTAAGAAAAGGAATCAGAAAGAAGCAGTATGGAGAAGAGAAACAACTGACGTGTGCATCTAAACTTTGCCTTGACCACCGCCGCAAGCAGCCCTTACCCATGTGCTAACTCCATCCCACACCACTCCTCCACTCCCAAACGTTACCTTCCTCATCTGCCTTAGTCACTTGAATGGGTCGAGATATTTACCAACTGAAGAACTTTTAATGTACTATTCCCTCCATCTGGAATCTTCTGCTTATTAAGTGTCATTGTGTTAGAGGTCTTCTTTTTAAATAGATTCCCATGTCCAGGTACTTCTCTGTCTTAACCTCTTTTTTGTACTGTCTTTCATTTTGACTGAAATCTGTCTGCCTATATTTGATCTGCCTTCTGCATTAGCATTTAAGTTCCCTACAGCAAAGACCATGTCTATTTTGAGCCATGTTGACTCCACACTGCCTTATGCATTTTTGGTACATTCTAGGTGCTCATTATTTCTTTTAATAAATGAAGAAGTAGGTAAATGAGAGAACAGGGATGAAGTTTGAGTGGCCTTGAAGAGCAGCCTGTGAACTTGACATTATGCAGAAGCATTTGCTCTATGGAAGGCGATATTGATGACATGACTGGTCTAACAAAATGTATGGCCTTTGTATGGTATATAAATTTAAGTAGGGACATATTGGAAATGAAATATGAACAA